GAAAGAGTGAAAGAGAGCGAGAGAGACGGAAAGTGAGACAGCAGCCCACCAGGTCTAGGACTTGGACCATGGTCAGCCATGTGGGAGTCCAGCGCCCTTAACCACCACACATCCTGCGGGCCCAGTACCCACAGTTTCTGAGAGCATCACATAAGTCGGGAGACCCCTGATGTCAGCTCAGGGGGACCAGTGGGTTCACGTGCTGGCCCCTCCATAGCGAGTTTCCCCACGGGGCCCACCTGCTGTGATGTGGTGGAGCACAGTGCCCTGCGAGACCAGGAGCCACCTGGCCAGCTGTGGGTTGGGATCCCTGGCTCGGCCTGAAACCACGCACAGGACACCTAGGCTCCTGAGCAGCTGGAGGGCTGGGGACATTGGATTTGGCAGGACAAGACCCGGTGAGGGACCTCTCTCCCTCTGCCTCTGTCTCTGCTGTGTGCATACATGCGCTTTCTGGCACTAAAAAAGAGGAAGTTTCCCATCTAATGTTAGCTGTATGCTTTCGAGATCTGGGGGTCATTACTTGAATCTATTACAGGGTGACACTTGAGCAGTAGTGTCACCTGGAGTGCTTAAGTGCCACATGGCCGGCCCTGCCCTGGGGTTTCCGATTCTGCAGGGCTGGGCAGGCTGAGAAGCAGCGGCTGTGACCAGCTCCCAGTGGTGCGTCAGGCCAGAGCCCACACTTGGACGGCCACAGCCTCACTGGTCCCGCTTGTGTTTCCACAAGGGCCTTCCGGCAGGTGGTTTAGTGAACTCTGGCTCCATGCTGGGGGAGGGCTCTTAAGGAGGGTTTTTTCCTCCTCACTCTCTTTTAATTGCCAGAGGGCACATGTACTCACCAGAGAGAGATGGGGGTGGGGAGCTCCCAACGGGATGTGGTCCTGTTGCAATCCCTTCTCCATTTCTCATCCCCTCGGATTTTGGGCACGCATGCATATGTATCTGGTATGCGTTTCTTTCTTTATTTCTTTTTTTAAAGACATATTTAATTTTATTTATGCATTTGTTTTATTTTAATTGATGAGAGAGAGAGAAGGAAAGCGAGAAAGCAAGCCACCAGGTCCGGGACATGAACCATGGTCAGCCATGTGGGAGTGTCCAGTGCCTTAACCACCACGGCACCTATAAGCCCACTTGGTGTGTTTTCAAGCCTCCAGAGCCAGGATTTGAACCATGGTTGGCCATGTGGGATCTGGCTCCCTTCACCACTGGACTACAGAGCCAGTTACTGTTTTCTGCCACTCGCCACCACCAGCCCTCATCTCAGGTAATCCTCCCAACAACCGGAAGGAACTCGTGTCCGTTTTCCAACTAAGCAAATTTAGACACAGAGAGTGATTGTCTTGCCTAAGGACACACAGGGAGCCACTGGCAGAGTCCTCAGCCACCAGGCTGGGTAGGTGGACGCGTCCCCTGTCCACCTGCAGAGG